AAGTGGTATCTTGCCCCTGTAACCCCCAAAATTTCAAAGGGTAGGTGAATGTCCTCGAGCCCGATGTTTATTCGTATAGTATTAAATAGTAGGGCTAAAAACTAGAGGACCATATCTCGGAAACTAGAGAGGGTACCATCACCATTTTTTCATAGAAGTGGTATCTTGCCCCTAGAACCCCACCCCCAAAATTTCAGACCCCACAGGGTATGTTTAAATTTTGAATTGCGAACTTCGTTCTCAGAAACGCAGTTCACTTTTGAATTGCGAATAGCGAACTGCGAACTGCGTTCAAAAATCTGAACGCCTTTCTTTCCTGTGATGTAAAATGTTGTTGTGTTTTTGCAAATTTACCATTAAAATTAAACAACATACCAAGATGATTAAACTCATTAACTACTTCTACAGTATTCCCATCATATTCCCAGTGTTCGTTAGCTCTAATATGTCCACTGTTTCTAAACACTAATATTTTTGTTTTTTCAACATCAACAGTTAAACTCCACTCTAATGTATATGTATACAATGAACTTAACATATTTTGTAAACCCTCTGGTGTTTCTGACATTAATACTGTGTCATCAGCATACATAAGTAAAAATAAATTAATCATTTGTAGTTCTATTGATGGACAATTGGTAGATATAAAATGATTTTCAAAATCATTGACATACATTGAAAACAATAATGGTGACAAAATTTCACATTGTAATACACCGGTTGTAATATTAAAATACTCTGACAGTTCTCCATTATGTTTTATACATGCTTTCACCTTCTGATAAAGTGATTTAATTATACACATCATTTTTCCATCTATACCATATAATTTAAGCTTCATCCACAGACTAGATTCATGCTTGTAAATCCATGTATGTAAACAAAATAATTATGCTCTTGTTTGATAAGTGTGGGGGTGCACTGGAAAATATGCTTATTGATAAGTGTGTTATTTCGTTAGTATACAAGAGTCTTGTGAAAAGAATTAACCTAATATCAGAAATATTAATTATAGTGTTTACTTAATCAAATATATAATATTACATTTGATAAAACATATACTTGGATATTTTACTTGAAAAAGACGTTAATTGTAATCTAACTGCCAAGCTATATGATAAACGTGATGACTTAAACTTTTCTATTGTCAACTTCCCTTACTTATTACTTATACCTTCATCACCTGCATACGGAGTATATATATCTCAGTTGATTCGATACCCAAGAGCATGCTCTACGTATGAACAATTTCTAAAACGAGGTAAATTATTGACAAGCAAGTTGATGAAACAAGAATCTCAGCAGTCTCGTTTAAAGTTATCATTTCGTAACTTCTATGGTCGATACAATGACCTTGTAAGCAAATACAATTTATCATTGAGTAAAATGCTGACTGACGTTTTTCATACGAATTGTTAGTCCATGATTTCTACACTGAATTGACGACGGATTTTTCCGTTATTTCCTGATCATGACAAGGAGCACACGCGGGTGTGACCGGTCAGCAGAGGATGCTCACTCCTCCATGGCACCTGATCCCAGCTCTGATGTTTCGGAGGTCCATGTTTGCTCTGCTCCTATTTTTGTATTGTTTTATTTACTTTGATATTGATATTGTTCGTTATCTCCATATCCTTCTTACAATGTTCTGGAAACTTTAAAAATGCTTTTGTAACATTTTCCGAGAAGAATCTTACAATACTATGCTAAAACTTTTTGAAAAGAAAATATTTGAAAGCCTTTGTGGAGAAATTGACAAAATCCAGATCAAAAACAATTTGAAAAGCTTAAAAGTTGTTGAAATTTTAAAGATTAGAAATTATTAGGCCTACTATTATATAAATATTGTTTGATTCTGAATTTTTTTATTTACCAATAAACAAACGATATCCCCCCCCCCCCCCCATATTTTTAGATTTTTATTTTCTTAAAATAATTTCAAAAGAAACCACTCAATTTTTTTATTTCCCAGTCCTGGCGGCGTCTTTATACGCGTACGTAACACCTCCCTATGTAAGTTATCAGTTGGGATAGGTGTACCTGATCTTAGTTGTTGTTTTAACAATTTACTGACATGTTTTTAAAAAAATGTATTTGACGGTAGATCACTTGAATATTTTAAAATATATCATCAACCTAAGAAGATTCAATTTTGGAAACCCTCCCCCCCCCCCTCCCACACACACAAGAAAAAATAGCTAAAAAAAATTGATAAGAAATAAAAATGAATATTGTAAAGATCTATTCTTATTCGTCTGTTATAAAAAAAAAAACCAGAGACGTCTCTGAAAAAACCAGTAAAGTATCTTTATGACAACTTTTATTATACATAAAAATTAAATTCGGATTTAGCTTGAAATGTTACGTACTATGTGTACTTTGAATAATATGTTTTTTTCATCTTAATAAAATAATTTGTTGAAATCCCGAAAAAATTCGAATCGTTTTTACCCAAGTCTCGAACCGTCTTGTCGCTAGTCCCGAAACGTCGTATTGGTAGGTCCCAAAACGTCGGCGTCCCGAAACATCGTGCACCCTTTATCATGTTTATACCCCACCAAATTAAACTTTACCACATGCTATAATTACCCTGAAGTCTTTAGACATATAAATTTTACATAAAAACGTTACTTAGCCATTTTTAAAAATTTTCTTTGGCGGATGAAAATTATTTTAAAAAATCCAGAGTAACGTGCCTAATGACCAGGGGTGTCAATTTGACCCATACTTTCTTTACAAATCCTTTACGCTGATGGCCTTTCTGCACCAAATGAAATGCTGTGATTTTTAGTCGCTGTTGACTAGGAAGGATACATTGTCCTTTTCTGACAGATAAGATGAAGCTCTGTAGCGAATTTCATTTCGTAAGTAGAGAAAAATATTATTTAAAATTGCATTAATAGCCGTAACATATTTTTTTAGGTTGAGGAAATGTGGATTGATAAGTGCAAGACGAACACTGATTCGCACCCAAGATAATTCGCATGGAGACGTTCCGCTCTCCACAGTGAAATCAAGGGGTGTTTTGAGGAGAGTAGCGTATGAGAAACCCTTGGCTAGCGAAGATGTTTACAATTTGCAATTAAAGTATAAAACACGACTGTGAATTATTGAATCAAGCTAGACTAAACTAAGCTATATATTACTTATTAAAGAACAGATATACAATATTTATTTCCATGATTTCTTTTAAAATATACTATATATCTACCGCTTAATTAATGTTAAACCTTGTTCTTTTTATGTCATTTAATATACAAAATGTATAATTTGGTGAATTGTTAGTTTTTAGTTAGTTAATTAGCTGCAGAACTGTAGCTCTCCGAAAAAAATATTTTGACTGACCGGAGAGCAACAGTGCCACCCATTGAAAAAAACTGTATATTTATTGCGCACAAAAAAGTGCGCTGCTAATCGATTTGTCTTTAAAACTATCATCTCAAAATATTACTAACCGTGTGTTCCTGAAACATGTTTTCAGTTTCCACAACAAAACAGTCCATATAACAGTGTTTTCCCTAAGAACCGGCAACCGCCAAATTGACCACTTCAATTGACAAAAATGCCGCTTTGAAATAACAATTTGTTGTAAGGTCCACAGAGATTTTGTTCATAAACCTCATACCCTAGACTTTTACAACTGATCTCTAACCCTTTACTTTGAAATAAAGGGAAAACACTGATATAATTGCTGTTAATAGCCTTCCTGGCTCTGAAATCGGAATCATCGAAAATTTCGTCTATTTATACCGCCATTTTGGTTTGCAAGATAATTCAGCCTTATGCGCTTCGTGTATAGGTCAACTACGTTATTAATTTATATAGGATCTTTTTTTTTTTTGGCAATTTGCAATTCATAACCAAGCGCAACTTTTTGTTCGCAATAAATATACAGTTTTTTTCAATGGGTGGCACTGTAGCTCTCCGGTCTGTCAAAATATTTTTTCGGAGAGCTACAGTTCTGCAGCTATTAGGTAATGAGATATGGACACAGTTTTAACCGATTTTGTTTTTAAAACCACTTTTAATATTTACAATTCCTAGCTGAACATAATTTTTTGATTTACAAAGGGGAAACGGAACTTGATAAACTCTTAATAATTTAAACAAGGCTTCTTGCCTCAGTTTTGTTTACATAAAGAAAATATCATATTTATGACAAAATGAGATTCAGCAAATCAATATAAAGTGTTTAATTGTATTTAGAATTAACTTCTTTATTGACAAAACTGCTTTGAACGAACATATAATTAGTATATTTAACCTATGTAAACAAGAACATGACACGGGCTTTCCAATACGATCTAAGTGCATATTTCCTTTACTTAGAAACATTTAACTGTAAAACATTAACTGTATTAAAATATTTTTTATTGTAGTCTGTCCCCTGAAGTAACAATTTGAACCTAAAAAAGAAAACAAATAAAAGTAACACCATGAATAAGGATACCACAACACAAATTAAAGTGCTTCAATGCTGTCATTGTCAGAATGACGTAGAATTCTACTGCAGACAATGTGAACAAAGTTTCTGTATGCCATGTAAGCAGAAACACGTTGTGTATCTCGATACAAAAGACCATGATGTTGTTATTTACCGTTTAAGGCATGGATGCTTCATAACACCAGAGTTATGTGATATACACCCAGACTGCAAATATAAAAGCTGGTGCAAATCCTGTGAATGTCTCATCTGTGATAAAAATGATAAACATCAAGAACATGAAATTCTGGATATCAAATTAGCCTGCACGGTTCAAAGAGAGGAACACAAGGAAAGAATTATTCAAATTAGAGGTGAGAGTCTGCCACACAGTCGTGCGATCCTAGCGGGTCTCAAATCTGACGTAAAATTCTTCAAAACAAAACTCTCCAGCATCGAACAAGAGCTTACAGTTAAAGCTAAAAACTTGAAAAAGCTTATTGAAATACATAGAAAAGCACTAAATGATTTACATAAAACAAATATTTATACACGTTTTATACTGAAACATCAAAAAATGAAGGAATATGTGCATAGGTACGAACAACTGGCAAACAAGCCTGTGAAGTTTCTATTGTTAATGAAGAAAACCCCTGTCCAAAAGAAAATAGAACTTCTTGATAACATAAAGTGTAACTTTAATAAAGAAATAAGTATAAGCGACATTTTAAATCTATTAGTCGAAATCAAAATCACAGAAGCAGGAAAAAGACAAGTTAGAAATGAGCATTTGTTCAGGCTATTAAAAGGGGCTATCCTAAATATTAAGCATGTTTATGTGACTAACTTATATCACGGTGGACACATTTCCTTTGTGACGTCAGATAGACTTTGGGTCAGTGATGGACGCAGTCTTATTTTGACGAATTCTAAAGGTAACAATCTACATCATTTATCTGATGCAAGTGAATACTATGGTGTACATACAGTAAACAGTGCAGGAGAGTTGATTTACGTAGACAAAGACTGGAACATTAACAAACTTAGTGTAGACAATACTACAAAATCGACATTGATAAAGAGAACGGATCTGTGGGAACCATGGTGTATCTGTCACTCAGCATCTTCTAGGGATTTGCTGGTCATGATGAGATATGATACAAGAAACCCTGCCATAACATTATCAGATGTGAAAGTCATTCGGTATAATAGTACACTACAACCTATCCAAACCGTCCAATACCATAGGACAGGCAAACCATTATATCATGACCCTGTCTACATCACGGTGAACAGGAATGGAGATATTGTTGTATCTGATATATGGAATGGTGTGGTGGTCACAGACCGTGAAGGAAAATATCGTTTCACTTACACAGGGCCACCAGAAGGATTGTCATTTGGAATATTTATGCCTTGTGGAATTTGTGTAGATACATTGTTAAATATCCTATTATCTGGTCGATTAGACCAAACAATACAAATGATTAACAAGGACGGTCTCTTTCTGTCAATTCTATCAACAAAACAAGACGGGATGGTTGAGCCATTGGGTTTGGGATATGACGAAGAAAATCATCTTGTTTGGTTCGGATCAGGCAAGACCAATAGACTGTGTGTGTACAGACATATAGAACGACAAGATTATCTTGCATAAACTTTAATTTGCTGGTGGTTCGGCTGACTTGTTTCAAATCAATTGGTAGAACTTTTTTTGTGCTGAATTTGACTACAGAATGATACGTACACTTGATCAATAAATAAGGTTCAAGACAGGTTATAACCGGTCAACAGGGAATGCTTACATCTCCCAGGTACCTGATCCCTCCACTGTAATTTCCGGTATGCGCTGTTCACAAATCGGTCAACAGGGGTCAGTACGACAAATCAGGCCAGCAATTATACAGTGAACCTATCTATATTACAGAGAACCGTAATGGAGATATTGTTGTTTCCGATGCATTGCGTGGCGTGGTGGTCACAGACCATAATGGAAATTATCGTTTCACTTACATAGGACAATCAAAAGTATTTCCATAGATGTTCCTTATTCCACATGGAACCTGCGTAGATACATTCTTAAATATCCTGATCTGTAGTCGAACGGATCACACAATACACATGATTGACAAGGACGGCCATCTGCTGTCAATTATATCAACAAAACAAGATGGGATATTTACACCATTGCGTCTCGGATATGACGAGAAAAATCATCTTGATTGGATGGGATCAGGCCACACCAACAGACTTTGCGCATACAGACATATAGAACGACAAGATTATCTTGCATAAACTTTAATTTGCTGGTGGCTTACTTATTTAATTCTCAAGAATAGCAAAGGCATGAATTATCATATTTATATGGAAACATCCTTAGGTAGTGTATATACAAGTTTGTTCAAATCATGACACCTGTGGGTAGGACGGGGCCACAACATGGAATCCAAGTTTTACATAGAAATATGTAGAAAATTATAAAAATCTTCTTTTCAAGAATGCCAAAGCATTGATTAATCATATTCATATGGAAGCATTGTCAGGTAGTGCATATTCAATTTTGACCAAGTCATGACCCCATCGGTGTTGGGCGGGGCCACAATGTAAGTTCAAATGTAAAGGGCAATATTACAAGAAACCCTACCATTAATTCAGAGGTGAAATTCATTCGGTTTAACAGCAAAGTACAACCAGTACAAACCATCCAGTACGACAAATCAGGCCAGCAATTATACAGTGAACCTATCTATATTACAGAGAACCGTAATGGAGATATTGTTGTTTCCGATGCATTGCGTGGCGTGGTGGTCACAGACCATAATGGAAATTATCGTTTCACTTACATAGGACAATCAAAAGTATTTCCATAGATGTTCCTTATTCCACATGGAACCTGCGTAGATACATTCTTAAATATCCTGATCTGTAGTCGAACGGATCACACAATACACATGATTGACAAGGACGGCCATCTGCTGTCAATTATATCAACAAAACAAGATGGGATATTTACACCATTGCGTCTCGGATATGACGAGAAAAATCATCTTGATTGGATGGGATCAGGCCACACCAACAGACTTTGCGCATACAGACATATAGAACGACAAGATTATCTTGCATAAACTTTAATTTGCTGGTGGCTTACTTATTTCAATCCAATTGATAGAACTTTGTTTGTATTGAATAGACTATGGAATGTTCCATGTACTTGATCAATAAATAAGGTTCAAGGCAGGGTATGACCGGTCAACAAGGGATGCTTAATACTCCTAGGCACCTTATCCCACTAATTCATATGGGTCTCTGTTATGCTGTGTTCACAGAATTGTATTGTTTCTAGATTGTTTTTATTTAGATCGAACACTGCGCGTTATATACACCTTTTTCATACATTACAGACAGGGATATTTTGGATGCTCTTATTGGTCTGCATGATCATGATCTGATCCCCACACAATGAGAGCTAATATTTATTTTTATTCATGATATAGAGATAACGAACATTATTATATGATTGAATAATTTCCATCTCTTTGATTCAAGATTCAACTATGTTAGAAAAATGCTACGCAACGTTCAATGTGAATACAACGATTTATTTCCTCTACATTGATCTTAAAATAAATAGGGAAATTCCAAATCGATACAAATCGTTTTGAAAAGCTATCTAAACGACTATGAATTTTTTATGTGAACAAAACATAAGAGAATATATATTTTCCGGTGAGGGTGGTAAGAGGGGATGCAGGGACCCCTCCAATACTTTTACTGAACAACAATTTTTACTTTTTGGCCGTCAGATTTCCCTGATAATACTCCTTCATTTCAAAATCTATCCTATAAAAAAACTGACATTATAATTTTTTTCATGGCAAAAAATTGATAAAAACATTTCAAATTGTTACGACTCATAAGGTTTATCTGCATTTTAATTTTGCTTCTCTCTTGTATTTGGCTAGGACTTAATTAAATGCAAACAAGTAACGAGCTGTATAATTTTATCAATGAATCATATAATAAAATAATTATTGCTGTTTTTTTCGATCAATACAATGATTTAGCCATCTTCGAAGTACAATATTGTACTCCTCAGATGGCTAAATCATTGTATTGACCTCAAAAACAGCAATAATTGTATAGTATTTAAGCTTAGTTTATTAAAAAAAATACAAATTACGAGCAGAGGAAACGCTGGCCTCTAAAACTTCAGATATGAGATCAGTGCTATGGAGGAGTAAGCATCCCCTGCTGACCGGTCATATTCTCCGTGTGCTTTTTGACATAATAAAAAAGGAAATTCGTAGACAATTTAATGTGTAAATCAGTATGAAAAAGTCCGTCAGTCTTTGATTCGATGTATATAATACTTATGTTCTTTTTAAAATTTTTCAAAAATAATGATGCTGTTAGAATTTCGTACCATAAAATATCTTGTTGAATTCTTTAAAAAGAGAAAAAGAAAATCAGTGTAAAAGGGAAAGTAATCAGCATACTTTAAGTTCTTTTGTAAAATGGGCCCCTGAGGTCACACTGTGAAAGGATCTCATTTTGATATCCTTGACACTATGACAGAATATTACTTTGATTAAATAAATGAATCACAGTATTTCATTGATGAAAATTTAATAAAGTAGTTTATAAGAAATCAGAATGACAATAATGTAGTTTTGTTTGAATCAATTGCAAAGCTTATGAATAGTTCGTCCATTACAAATATATAAACAACGGAAGTTTATAAATGTTTTTTTTCCTTTAGTTAATCACAATTTTACAACAGATATTCTGACTTGAATGTTGAAGTTCATATTGCTTTAGAGTAAAAATTGAAAATAAATCTAAGTCTAAGAACAGTTAATATTCCACCACAATAAAGTGTCCAGGAACAGATTGACAGAAATGTGAAAAAATTCAAGTTAACATTGAATCCGGATCCGGGTTTTTTTCTTCTGTCCAACCTTCTTAATAACAGCCCTCCCATATAACATTACACATGTATATTATCAGGATCAGAAATGGACTCGGAGGAAGCATGGATTCAATGGGACAGTCCTTACATTGGTGTATAACTGTTTAATTGTTGATATTGTATTTGGTTTCTACTATTTATCTGGATTTTAGACGGTTTTCTTTCGCATGGCTGATTACAGGTAAAGTATGCAACTTGTTTGATATTGATTTACTAGTAAAAAAAAAGATAACGTTTTATCTTTAGTACTCTACGATCAATAAAACAGAAACAATAATAGACATAGAAAGATAAGAAAAATGGCGCAAATGTTTTCAAATCATTTGATCATGAACATACTTGCATTATTATTCTCATTATTTTTTTCCGGATAATTTGTTTTTCAAACACTCATTCTATTATGACATAGTTTATGATCAACATATTTATTCAATAAAAAAACAGAAATATTTATTGACATTTAAGTGTAAGAAAAATGTCACAAAGACTTGCACTCTGACTTTTTCCCGGATAATTTGTTATTCACTTGTGGGGGGAGGGAGGTAACATTCTTGTTTTAAAGAGAAAGTACATGGAGATAACGAACATTATTCAATCTCAAAGTCCATAAAGCAATACAAAATAAGAGCAGAGCAAACACGGACCTCCGAAACAGAACAATTTTACTACACATACATTTTTAAATTTGAATCATTTTACTTAGTATGAATATTAATGTCTATGAAAAAAAATATCTTTTTCATTGTAGATGTCCCCTGAAATAACACTTTGAACCTAGAAAAGAGAAAACAGATTCATGAAAGAAACACCATGAATAAGGATACCACAACACAAATCAAAGTACTTCAATGCTGTCAGTGTCAGAGGGATGTGGAATTCTACTGCAGACCATGTGAACAAAATTTCTGTATGCCCTGTAAGCAGGAACACGTTGTGTACCTCGATACCAAAGACCATGATGTTGTTATTTACCGTTTAAAGCATGGAGACTTTATAACACCAGAGTTATGTGATATACACCCAGACTGCAAATATAAAAGCTGGTGCAAATCCTGTGAATGTCTCATCTGTGATAAAAATGATAAACATCAAGAACATGAAATTCTGGATATCAAATTAGCCTGCACGATTCAAAGAGAGGAACACAAGGAAAGAATTATTCAAATTAGAGGTGAGAGTCTGCCACACAGTCGTGCGATCCTAGCGGGTCTCAAATCTGACGTGAAAAAAGATGTAAAAATTTTGAAAGCACAATTCTCCAGTATTCATCAAAAGCTAACGGCTAAAGCTGAAAACTTGAAAAAACTAATCGATAGGCATAGGAAGACACTAAATGATAAACCAAATACTTATAATACTTATACTACTTGTATATTGAAGCATCAAAAAATGAAGGAGTATGTGCAAAGTTACACGGAATTGGCAAACAAACCTGTAAAGTTTCTGTTGCTCATAAAGAAAACACCTGTCCCCAAGGCAATAGAATTTCCTATTAACATAATGTTTAGGTTTTTGAATGAAATCAGTATAAGAGACATGAATGACATTTTAGATGAAGTCAAAATCACAGAGGCAGGAAAAAGAAAAGTAAAAAAAGAACAAATGTTGAAACTTGTGCAAAAAGGTTTGTTAAAGAAGTTTGTTGCTGTGACTGACTTAATTCATGGTGTTCACATTTCTTTTGTGAC